GTAGTTGAAAATGAAGTTTCCTTGCTGTCTATTGACTTCTCTCTGGTTTTGCATTCCTGTCCTTCATATACCAACCCCGCAATCATGCTATGAACAAATATGTTCCCCTGAGCATCCTAGCTACTTATGGATCTCTAACATTTATCTGTACTGCAGGGTAATATCACACAAAGCATATATCAACCAAAGACACACGAATGTAAGGAAATATTGAGAGCCTAAGGTAAGAGTGTACATGGCTCAAGAAGTCCGAAAAAGTGAAATTTGGGCAGTTGCATTGAAAAAACTGATGACCACATTTAGAAATTGAGGAATAACTATGGGGTGAGCAAGAAGAGGAATTACATGAAGAAGACTTGTTAAATTATGTAGGGAGGGGCTGTTATTTACAGCTGGTTTAACTGAAATTGTACAATGATGATAGGCAACCAATTACTTGACACCAATTAAATGGAGGCTATGCTGGTAGCTGTGATTGGCTTTTGAATGTTAATTTTACTTCACTCAGCTTATTTTGCCTCTTATTCAGCTTCTTCATATCTTTTAGACACACTATATATCCACCCACTTGAACACCAAATAAGCACATAGATACTGATATGTAGGGAAAAGGATAATCAAAGATTGTTATTTCTATTTTTGTATTCCTGGGAAGCACTTAGCAGCTTCCTGAGGAATGTTCTGTGCAGCCATGAGGTGCCACAGAAATATGCTTTCGGTCTAAGCATTCTTTTGTATTTAGGAGGCAGAGGCCCAGGCTCATTCCCTGAACCTTAAACTTGAATAGCCTTCTAACTAAATGCTTAAATCGATAGTGGAGGTTTATACCCCCACTGCTGGAGGTTTGGGCTCCTCTTGTATCAAGCTCCACAGGCTCCCCAGTGTTGTAAATTCATGATGCTTGGGAAAGGGTACTTTCACAGTAGGAAGAGTAATTCTGTCAAGGAGTGAAAAACCAGAGATGAAAGAGGTGCTATCATTTGGTTGGTCAGGGTGCAGCCTTTGCCCCTTTGTATATGAACCTGTATGGCACTGGCTTTTGCACCATAAGTAGGTGCTTTTCAGTGTTCCCCTCTCAAAATGCAGCCTGAGAGCTCATTTAACTGTGGGACTGAGGGAGTCCCATTGGTGGAAGTCACTGGGGAGGGAGCAAAGTGAGAAGGAGATGGAAGAACAAGCAAGAGAGATCATGAGTAGAGAGTGCTCTTCCCCAGCAGCTGTTGGGGTGTCTTGTTGTCCTTGTACGTGTCCGTGTGTAACATAAAGCAGCCGTGGTAGTGCTTGAAGTTGTGCAGGGGACTCATCCAGCCCACAGCCAGCCTGACCGTGGAGCTGTGCAGGTGATGTGAAACTGTCATGGCCACTCCTTCTGCTGGTCCTGCCAAAAATGCTGAACTCATGTTTCTATGTGAGTGAGCTCTTTCAGATGCTTCCTGGCAGTGCAAGAATCCAGATTTTGCTGACTCTCCCCCCTCTTCCCCCCTTAGACCTCTCTTCCATTCTAAATACTATCAGGGACTCAGCCTCAAAACTTCTGGGTGAGCCAAAATCTTTACAGAGCTCCTACACAGATTCTTTGCATGTCTTCAGAGTTATGTTTCTGTAATTAATTACTTGTTACTTGTGTGGCTCCAGAGTTGTATAGCTATAGTACAGATAGATTCTGCTGAAGAATGTGCAGTGGGAATTTTGTAATGTTAAACATCCTCAGTGCATTTGAGGACACATGTCCTGTGAGCATATAGTAATAATTCTGTTTGACTGATATCTACTTCACACATTCAATAAAATACTGAAAATGGTAAGTGCAGCTGAGGACAAACAGATGATATTTATTGTACATGTTTATTTTATTCCTGAAATATATTTAGGGACGGTGCTCCCTCTGCTGGTTAAAAAGACTCTTTTGATAAAGAATTGGATAATCCTCATCTCTCTGTCTTCACTAATGTAGCACTGAGCCAATTACAATTCTCTAACACATGTTTAAAAGAGTGTGGAGAGAAACACTGTGACTTGAGAGTATTAGCTTGCACAATAGTGTTTCCTACCATGCAGTATAATTACTAGTCTAACACCTTGGAACCCATTCACTTAAGCTACATCGGCTGAAGGAACAAATACAGAGCCTGTATTTACCTCTCAGGTGGCTTGGGATAGTCTGGGTAGAAACCATGTAGTAGATTTCAAGGCTGTTGTCCATTGCTGTGGATTTTACGAGGTCACACTGAAGCATCAAGGTGTGATGAATGTTTTGAATGGCAGGGTTTCCTGTTAGTAGTCAGGCACTGTTTCTCTCTATTTGGAAACTGCATCCTTAGTTTTTGTCTTGAAACTGTTACATTTTTTGCCAAACATATCCTTGGTGGAATTTCAGTTCAATGAACGTTAACTTTTAGGAACAGGAAAGCATATGTGTTTGTGATAGGAATTCTGAGCTTGTAACATATTGGAGTAGCAGCAACACTGGTCAGAAGACAGCCCTCTGGCAAGGCCAAGAGTTTCCCTTGCAGTGAAGGCACAGCTGAGGAGCTGTGGTGGATGAACTCCAGCAAACCCCACTGCGCTCGTGTGAGAAACTGCTTTCACTGCCTTTCCACCCTGTGTCCTGCATTGCTGTGTCCTCCTCACCCTGGTTTTGGCAGCTGCCTGGCCACCTGATGAGCTCCTCAGCTCACAGAGGCCAGAGTAAGCTCACTCGCTAAAGAAAAGTGAGTAAATTTAGTGAGCTGAACTGGAGTGGTGGAGCCTGAGGGAATCATACCAGCTGGTGTAAAGAAGGATGAGGTGGCACCATCCCTTTAAAAGAAGGAGAAGAAAAGGCACCTTTTCTGGGTAAATCAGCTTAGCTGCCTTATGACATCTTTCCACAAGACTGAGTTTTATGCCTTTTCAGCTGAAGGGCAGATGTGTCTGTCCTGCTGTCTCAGCTGCAGGGTGATCACTGGCAGAAGCAAATGTTAAGGAATCAAGCATCATTCAAATGGCTTTGGGAAGATCCGCACATTGTTGTTCACCATGTGCCTGTGTCTCTGGAGAGGTGAGAACATATTTTTACAGACCTAGACACCCTGTGAGCCTGCACTTTTGGAAGCAGTTGATTTATATCCATGTTACCAGTCTCTCAAGTCTAAAATCTCCCAGTCCAGCAGTCCCTAGACAAAGTAATAGGGGAAATAATTTATAATGGGGTGGTGATTATTTCCTCCCCCTCAGCACTTGATATATTACAGCTGAATCTTCTGAAACTACTTAATTCATGTGATTCTCTTGCTTAGCAATCCACAACTGTTCCATGTGTCAAACAACATTAAATGGCTTATTTAGAAGAGTAGGTGCTAAAGAAAATATCAGCCCATGCAGTTAAGCTCTTAACAGGTTCCCATCTGTTTAATAGTCCATTCAATTTTAATTTTAACTACCTAGTGCAAAAGCATTTCACAAAAGCTGAACTAACACAGGCGTCTTGCTTATTAAATGAGCGCAGTGGTGACCGAGCACTTGCTATCTTTTTACGTAGCACCTCCACATTTTCAGCAGCTGAGTGTCAGAATATTAATTTTTGTGAGCTGAGTAATGAATTCTCCTTTGTGCCTTCTGACAGTCTGCACTGAATCAGTAGAGGTACAGATGACTTGCTTACATCTGTTTTAGTTTTTGAGTCTCATGAATTGATTTGTAAGATGCAGAAGCTCTTTCAGTGTTCCTTGCCAAGACTTTGCAGCTGTGAATGTTGGAACTTGAACAATACATAGCCCTTGCAGTTAGAGTCTCATGCTCTTCATGCATCACAGCTACAAATCTCAGTGCTGAGCAAAAAATAAGTGGGGTGGCAGTGGTGACCTAGTGCTTGCCAATTTATGTAGTGTGGGTGCGGCATAAATGTAGCACAAACACTAGCTGTTGGGCTGTTTGACTGGAACATTGAGTGAAGAAAGAAACCAGAAAGACAAGCTGGGAAAGGATGCTGTTCAAGTATTTCCGTGCAATGCAAGACATCTTCAGGACATGCTTATGTCTATATTGCACAGCATAATAAGTGACAGGTTCATCAGAGCCTGAAGTTCCAAATAAACCACTTTTGGTAGGAAAGCAGTAGTACAAATGTTGCTACCTCAGTGATCTCTGGGGTCTAATCTACTCAGTGACATTAGGACACTCTGCATTCACATGACTTTACAGCTTCTAGATGGTAGTTTTTTACTCTCTTGTTCAGTTTACATATTCTGAGACTGATGGAATTTTTCTGTCATTTAGCGTAGTATCACTGATGCCAAAAAATATCTTATGGTTGAAGTTTGTGCTAAGTCAAGCAGGAGTGTTGAAAAAAGACCTTTGTTCATTAGCGCTGCTTCTTTCCTTACAAGTTTTGGCAGCACTAGTTTTCTAAGGCTGTTGTACAAACAGGCAGACTGATATCTGGACTAAAGAAAGGGACTGGAACCCAGGAGACTTCTCTACGTGTGTTATTGGGTCTTGATGGAATAGTTTGTCCTAATTCTCTCAGTTTCCATGGCATAGAGGAGTTAAGTCTGATTAACTGTGTACCCTGAAAGTGCAGAAGTTTGAGCTTCCTACTCAGTACTTACTTTGTACTATTTATCCTGAACTTACTTTGGAGTAAAGTCAAATGGGAAGGCAGAGTAGAGGGAGAGGTGTTCACAATGTGTAAGTCCATGAGTAAGCAGCCAAGGTGGCAGGTTGCATGCAGGGAGGGATCACACAGCTCTCACACATGCAGTTGCCTTTATGTTTCCTTACTTCCCTCTAGCAAATCATAGATGAACTCAATTCTAGTATAAGAAACCATGAGTCTGCAGTATTTGGGATGGTACAGCCCTCCACATGCTCAAGAGCTACACTTTCCAGGCCTTGGAATATCCAGTAGCTTGACTGGATGTCCAGAAGTTCTTGACAAATAGCACGTTGTTTTTCTTGTTGGGCTAACAGTTCAAGTCAGGAAAATAAAATGTTTCTAGGGAAACCTGGATGTATCTTACCTTGAAGTGACGTGTTTATAGTCTTGACTCTGCTCCTCCAGCTATGTTTTACCTCTCAGGGCAGCCTGGGAGACTGAAGACAGTCTTGAGAGAATTGACCATAGATGCCCTGGAAGCCCAAGTTTTTATTTGTTTTAAGCCTTTAGTTAACCTCCTTGGCAAGCTGAAACATTCATTACCTTAGTGAGTGATTTACAGGCATGTTAAGGCCTTTTACAGTGCCAGAATGATCTTAAGGGAGCTTTAGACTAAGTGAAAATCTGATCTGTAAACCTCAGTTTTATTTTTTCTTAAGACTGGAGGAAAGACTATTTCCCTGTGTTGCAGGGTGCAGTGGTTCGGACTGTGGTGAAGTCCTCAGATGGACAGAGCTTCTGAGTGCAGAAAATATCAGTCATGTTACACGTGACTGATCTGAGTCACATATGTTACACATGACTCATATTTCTCTGTCAAAATAATCTTGTTTTCTTCTCATCTGCACATGTTGTACCTTCCTTCAGCAACGGAAGACCCTGTTGTATGTACTTGAGTGTCTTCTCCCTCCCAGCAGGTCATGAGCCCAGGGTTCAATGTGAAATCCTGGTCTGAAGTGATATAACAACTGATTTTGTAGAAGTAGCTTTGTGCTGGCAGTGCCAATTGGCTAGCCAAAGTATGGGTTTATGTACCTGACTAATTTGTTTAACTTTACAGATATCTTTCAGATTGTTAATTACTTCAACACATTTATTCAGAGACCTGGATCATGATACATTCTTTGAAATACTTTTCAAAACGATTTTAGTTACTTTAGAACTTGGACTTTGTACCTCTTGCAGCTGACCTAGTAACATATTTCTCCAGTTGTTCTGATGTTTGCTTTGTTTTGTTGTGTTTTCTGGTCTAACACACTGCTTCAGATTTGCAAACCTTATTCTCAAACCATGACAAAGAATACTGGGTAGTAAATAGAGGAGATCATGCCATTTCAGCACTTAAAGGAAAAACTGATTGTTTGCCTCAGAAAGTACCTTTTTATTGAAAAGTTTATTTTTGTGGGAGGAAGGAGAGAAAAAGCAGCACGATGATTTATTCTGGCAGGATTTTTTTGTAAACAAGTGTTATTTTGAATTCACTTTCTCATGCTCTTATCATCTCAGTTATGGTTTTCTGCCCTCCTTCCTCCTTTGCCCTGCTCTTCTTACCCATCAGTAATGCCTCTTCTCCCTTGTCTCTTCATTTTAACGAAATCCTGGACAAGGAACTAAAAACCAGCATCCACCCAGTAACTCCACAAATCTTCCAATTCATCTCATCTTCCGACAGTGTAATAGCACTATGTCTGTTGGTCATCACTCAGTTTCCTCTGCCTGCATGTCATAACTTTTTCTTTGCAAGATGCCTGTTATACTTCCTTGACAAATGAGCTCTCCAAGACTCAGATGTTGTTCTTCTTGTGTGTGCTCAGTCCTCAGCTGACCTCTCCAAGTAGCCATCATATTTCTGGGAATCTTTGTCCTGAACAAACAGGAGAAAAGTGTCTTGTTAATCACCATCATAAAATCAAATACTAAATTGTTTGTTAGTTACAAAGAGCAATCTCATCTCTCACTGTTTTACTGAAAATCCTTAAATCTTTGCATAGCTTCCTTTTGTGTGTTTTGAACTTTGTTGCTATCCTTTGAAAATTGCTGTGTTTTGAGTTTCTAAAACAGATGCCATGTTTTTTAGTGTGTTTTCCAAACTTATAGAACTTTTCCTTTTTGCAGTTGCACACTAACATTTTATTCATCCAATATTCCCACAGTTTTTGACAATATAAATTGTTTCTTCCCGTTTCACATCACACCTTTAAAGGACAACTCTGGTTACTTCCTATGAGGAACATGTGGCTTTTGATTTGCTTGATTTGCTGTTTCCAGGAGTTGACATGCGTATTTTTTCCCCCCCTCTCTCTGTGTGCAGATTTTGCAGCCTTTATTCAGACAGTGTTCCTCCACTGGGAGTCCATATATAGTGAACATATTAAAACTGCGATGTTGATCTAGAGTGTGGATGAATTTTCTGCCTCTAAATTTATCTGATTTAAATACATTTGGAGTTGTAGGGAGCTGAAGAGCACAGGAAACACAGATGCCCCATACCACATTAAAGGAGAATCCAAAGGATGACACATACAATCTGAGTGTTCAGCTTCTTGGGAAGATTCTGTATCTCTGAGCATCCTGTCTCTGAACCACCCTGAAATTCAACTCTAAGTGACAAGCCTGGTCTCCAAAATCTGCTGTTGTGAATGGTGTATAAGAAGAGTGGTATTTGCCATTCACACAGTAGTGACTGAACAGTAATATTTGTGGCTTTCAGGAATTTTATTGCTGATTTGGAGTTTTACTGGGATTTAGCTATATCTCTGTAGGAATGCAGGTAGGTTTTATTAGAGGGAATTATACTCCTGATCCCAGGAGTATAAGTGTGCTATGAATACTGCTATCCAGAGTGACAAAAAAAAGCTTTCATTGGCATTCAAAGAGTGCTTTTCTGTTATGCCACGCTCAGCCCCTGCCAATCTATTATTGAACCAGAAATATTTCTTTATTTATAATAATCCTTCTTTCAAGTACAAACGTGAACTGTTTGCTGTTACATGTGTCTTCTTACCCTCTAACAGGTTTCTTGAGCACAGAAATAGGGGATATGTGAGTGGCTTGAAGAAGCAACTTGTATTGTATAGTTACTAATAAGTTTTCTGCTTCCACAGGGAGAAAGAGGCTTGCCAGGACTACAGGGTGTGATTGGGTTTCCTGGAATGCAAGGACCTGAAGGTCCCCCTGGGCCACCAGGGCTTAAGGTATGAACTTAAGCTTTCATATTTGAAACATTCAGATTTCCCTAAATTGTTGTCCCAAAGAAAGACAAAGCTTTCTATTTCCTTTGCAGGGTGATACTGGAGAACCAGGACTGCCAGGAACAAAGGGAACAAGAGTGAGTTCTAGCTTACTTGTTTGCATTTCTGATGTCTTTGCGTTGTTTTATATTTTAACTCTCCATGGCTGCCTTCAAATGCAAGAGGGAGTTAGTCTCTTCTTTGAGTTAATCAATGACATCTCCTTGTTCTGCACAATAATTTCAAAATTCTCACTTTTACCTTTGAAGTTTTGCATTGGGCAGCCAATATCTTTATCCATTTGTATTTTTGCCTGATACTTACCACTGCATCAAAAGGACTGATTTTAGTATGCCTTTGATACCTTTTTGACATACTGAAAGACTTTTTTTCCAGTTTCAGGATGAAACAACCTTATTTCCTCTTGCAAAATTCTCCTTTATGTTTGCCATCTAGCCTCCTTGCAGCACTCCAGCAGAGAAGCTGACACACTCATGAGTACATATGTGTTAAAAGTGTGCACAAGATGCAGAGCCGAATTAAAGTCAGGAACAAAGATCTCTTGACTTCGCTAGAAGAGGCTCTGAATATTTCTATGGTCTTCCTGTTGTCGTTAATGTTTAATGGGGCACTTACATAGCACTTATTTTAGCATATGATAATATTAGCCAGGGCCATAACTTGAGGGTTTGTGAGATGCCAAGCTCATTCTGAGCATTGTCTTGTCTCGTAATGTCATGACGAAAGAGGATTCAAATGACTTGGCCAGTAATGATGCATACATTTTCAGCTATACCCTCTTGTTTAGAGATTTTCAAAATACCATCTCGGTTTTGTTCTCTGTCTGCCTACAGTTGCTGCAGCACACAGAATTTACTGAATCAACTGCAGTTTCTGAGCTATTAAAGGGAGGGTATTCTGCTAGCTCAAGAAATCCTTATTTCAGTCTGTGATGTTCGTGATATCCTGGGGTATCCTGAGTGTCAGTATAAACTGGCATCTTCTGGCAGAAGTGTTTGTGTGCTACAGTGCCAGTAACCTGTATAACAATTACAGAGTTTTGGAAGAAGCAAGTACACCATCTAAGCACAGGATTCCCATACATCTTTTCTGCTTCATAATACCTGTATTAGGAAATACTGCATGAATAAGTAAGATGATAGGATGAAAATGATTTGACAACTTGAACTGCTGATGCATTGCACTGAAAAGCTGTTCAAAGAGAAAGAGCTACCTCAGCCTGGTAGGTTTTTTGATAATAAGGATAAATTGATACGCTGATGAGGAGTATGAAAGAGAACATTTTTACAGTGTGTTAATGTCATCTCCTGCTATGAAGAGATGTTTACAGTAAATTTCATTTTGGGAACAGTGGTTGTGAGAAAACAACACCTCTGCATCCCTTTTTACCTCTACATAAGGCTCTGATCCAGTTCCTACTGCCTAAAAAGTTAAAGAAATATAAAAGGTTGCTTTCAGTTACTGATTACTAAGGTGACATGTCTGAGAGGTTTTGAAGATTTTGTAAAGGAAGTTTAAATACTACTTGGTTTTGACTGTTATCACTGGCAATGCAACTTGGGCTGCAGCTTGTCCTTGCTGTTTTGTGGATTTGTCATTTCAGTTTATGTTTTTCTCAATTTCAGGGCCCCCCAGGAGTATCAGGCTTTCCAGGAAACCCAGGCCTTCCCGTATGTATGAAGTATAGGTATTTTTATAAAGAACTAATTGTATTAATCAAAGTACTAATCATGACATCTGACCCGGATTATTACAAATATTGTTAATTTCTTTACCTTCTTTTCATTTAGGGCATTCCTGGACAAGATGGCCCTCCTGGTCCACCTGGCATTCCAGGATGTAATGGCACAAAGGTGAAATTTACATATTTTTATAAGAGCAACTCTATGTTGAAATAAAAACATCTCTCAAGCATATGTTCCCAAAAAACCCTGATTTCTCTGTTCCCCTTAGGGTGAAAGAGGTCCAGTAGGTCCCCCAGGTTTACCAGGACTGACTGGGAGTATAGTAAGTAGATTCTTTTCTGCTTGATTCACTTTTTTCAACCCTGATTCTAAAAATTCAAATATAACTATATGAAAAGATACAGAGTATAAGATGAAAAATATACAACACTGAGGAGCAATGACATCAATTATGTCTTTTTTTCACAGGGACCCCCAGGACCTCCTGGAATGAAGGTACATTTTACTCTGTGTTTGTGTCCTACTTCT